TGCAAAGTTCACAGCGGTTGACCAAATTCCAGCCCCGTCTCTTCAGATTGTCGATAGTAAGAATTCTATTATGAAATAGAGTCCATAGAAAGAAGCAAATCTTGGAAGGGATTATGCTTTTCCAGACGGCGGCGCTGGGGAAGGAAGGAACTCCCGGAAAAGCTGTATCAATGATACACCTGTACATTGAAGACACAGAAAAACAACCGTTCGAGCAAGGCGCCCACACAAGTCTGCAGGGACTGGAAACGTTGTTAAGACCCGCAAGGGATTGAAGATAAGATAATAAATTGTTCTTTTCCCTCAATGTCCCACCCTTGAGATTAAAATTGAACTCAATAACCCAATGAGGAGACGCACCAGCGATGTTGACTAAATCGGCGATAGAAGCCCCAGGGTCAGAAGCAGCAGCAGCAACGCGAGGGAAGATGTTGGCGAGGATAACACCTGAAGCCCAGAAATCATGCCAAGGAGATATTGTGCCCGCTGCCAGGTTCGATAAAAGCGTAGTTCCAAAAAGAGTCGTATTCTTTGGAAATACCTGCCCAGGGGGATCTGCCGTAACCGTTCTTGACTATAGGCGTGGCCCAACTAGAATATTTATTCTTGTATTTAATCTCGATGAGGGTATGCCACCAGCTGCTTCTTTCAAAGGAAAATCACCAGATCCATTTGGATAGGAGAGCCTTGTTGAATGACTTGAGGTCAAAGAGGCCTAGGCCGCCATTGCCGATTGAGGCCTTACATACATCCCACTTAACGAGCAAGGATTTGTTGATGTCTCCAGCGCCACTCCACAGGAATCTTCTCATGATTCTTTCCATCGTCACTATGATCAAGCCTGGAGCTTTGAACAGGGAAAAAAGATGAACATGAAGGCTGCAAAGAACATCTTTGTTGAGAGTTAGTCTTGCTCCAAAAGAAAGGTGTTTCGCCTTCCAACCCTCAAGATGTTTTTGTACCTATCGATGACAGGCTGCCAGAACATGGTACTGGAGCTAAATCTGCCCAACGGGTAGCCCAAATACAAGAGAGGCTCATCACTCCACTTGCAACTGAAGAGATCAGCAAAAAAATCTCGATTCAGCTACATCACCAACCGTGATCATAATGGATTTGTCAAGATTGATCTTAAGTCCAGTAATGGCTTGGAAGCAGACTATGGTAGCCAATAAGTTGAGGACTTGGCTATGAGAAGCGTCGCAGAACAACAAGGTATCGTCCGCAAAAAGTAAGTGAGTGACCTCGCCCCTCCTGTTAATTTCATCCATGAAGAAACCATCAACCAAACCTGCCTCCTTCAGCTTGGATATCAAATGAGACAGAACGTCGATAATGAGGGTAAAGAGACCAGATGATAGTGGATCTCCTTGGCGCAAGCCCTTCTCTACAGGGAAGAAGCTCTTGGCTTCACCATTCACCATGATGGACAAGACAGGGCTGCACATCGTACCTTTAATCCAGTTGGACCACATAGGAGGAAACCCCAGACTGTCAAGGATTTTGAACATACAGCCCCAGTTGACATTATCGAAAGCTTTTTCGATGTCTAATTTGAAAATAAGTCTCGGCTTCCTACTTCTTTTCCTGCTGTCGATGAGTTCATTAGCGATTAGGCCAGCATTAGAGATTTGTCTTCCTTGTACCGCGACATTTTGTTCCTTCGATACAATTTGAGGGAGGATAGGTGCCAATCTGCGGGCTAAAACCTTGCTTACAATCTTGTTGAAACTGCTCAAAATACATATAGGTCTCAAATCTTTGATGTCTTTGACCGAGTCTTTCTTGGGCGTAAGACAGATAAAGGAATGAGTCACCATTTTAGGAAGAGATCCGCTGCCATAAAACTCATTGAATGCTAGCATAATATCTCTACTAATCGAGCCCCAGCAGCGCTTATAGAACTCCAAAGAGAAGCCATCAGGACCGGGTGCTTTGCTCCCGTCGCAATCACCTAGAGCTTCCCAAATTTCCTGCTCGGAGAAAGCAGAGCAGATTGTGGTGACGTCGTGATTCTGTATCTGAAGGTTAATGTAATTTTGAGGAAAAGGTCTAGATCTAACCCTTTCCTTGAGCAGCTCTTGGTAGTGCTCAACAATGGCATGCTCACGCTCATTACCATCCTCATAAACATTACACCTGATGGATACCCTGCTGATGAAATTGAGTTTCCTCTTGAAGTTTGCCATTTTGTGGAAGAAACTAGAGTTTTTGTCACCATATTTAAGCCACAGTTCCCTGGATTTCTATCTCCAACAAATTTCCTACATATTAAGAGCGTTCTTGAGCTCAATTTCCAGTTCGTCTCTTCTGCTTCTCTCGTCGTCAGAAAGATCTATGCTTTCGCTTAATAAATCCATCTCTTCGATTTTCTTGAACAAACCAGTGACTCTCTCGTGAATGTTCCCAAAGGTGTGCTTGTTCCAAAGCTTAATTTCCTGTTTTATAGACTGTAGCCTCTTAGCCCATCGAAAGACGTGACCAGACCCTTCCAGAGGTGTGAGGATCCAAGAGGAAAGGCTGGTATAGAAGCGTTCGTCTTCCAGCCACATATTTTTGAACCTCCATGGGCGTTTGATAGTTTTGTGATCTCCCCAGGAGATGAGGAGGGGGTTCTGGTCAGAATCGACGCGAGGAAGAGCAGTCAAAGAACAGGTGGGAGTGGTGGTATCAAAACCAATGGAGATGAACGCCCGATCGATTTTGGAAAGAGAGGAACTACCTGCTCCATGACACCAGGTGAAATGGATGCCTCCAAGGGGGAGTTCAATAAGAGCATTGCAATCAATAATATCGTTAAACCTGTCCATGAGATCAGTACTTCATCTTGAGCCTTTATAATCTTCATGGCATCTGAATAAGTTGAAATCGCCCGCAATACAGTAGGCGCCCTAAACACTCTGACAATACTTGTGAAGTTCCTGAAGGAAAACCAATTTATCCGCCCGGTCTTTAGGACCATAAATGATAGCCAAGTGCCATATGCTCGAGTTCTGTATATCATTGAATTCGACGTCGATGAAAAAAGTGCCTTCTCTGCTAGAGAGTTGCTGGAACCAGAGCTTATCCTAAATTATAACAATACCTCCCGAACTACCAATTGCGTTCTTAGCCACCCAACCGAAATCACCTCTGCCTGAAATGCTTTTCACAAGTTTTTCGGTACAAGAAGCCCACTTGGTTTCCACGATGCCTATTATACTTGCTTTCAAAGATCTTATAATTCTCCTTACTCGATCCCTTTTGTCCGAGTCACCCAATCCTCTAGCATTCCAAACGAATATGGCCGTATTCATCATTAAAGATCACTAGTAGAGCCTCTAATCTGTTTTCTACAGCTCCTCGGCTCCGACGAATGAGGTGCAAGGGGTCCCAATCGACGAGCTTCCATCTCAAATTTAGAACGGTGACCTCTGATATTTCTCTGATGTGTCTCTTGAGTTGTGTGATCGATGAAACTGTCAACCTGATTGTTAGCATGTTCTTCGCTAAGTTCGAACAGATGGTTGAGTTGAATACAAGTTTCCTTTAAGGAGTTGGCATCGAAGGGGTATACGCTAGTGTCCCAGCTGCTTATCGGATCATCTGTGAAGCATGAGGGAGATGGAAGGTGGGAATCAGCTTCTTCATTGAGTTCAGGGATAGCCTGCGTGGTGGAATCTGGCGCGAGAAATGACTCGTTATCGCGCAAATCTGAAGAGAGAGAAACAAACTCAGCGCCGACATTAGACACGGGGAGATTCTGCACAAAGGTATCGGGAGCGAAGAATGACTCATCTCCGCCCAATTCTGAGGAATGAAGTTCATTCTCAAAGCTCTTGAAAGAGAAACCGCTGGAAGGAGGTTTGAGGGAGGGGGAGGCCAGATAGAATTGAGGGGTTTCAGAAACCCAGATGTCTTCGATTTGGGAGCAGCTAATTGGCTCGGGAGGTGGGAGAGTGAGGGAGAAAGGGGTGGTGGAGGCTATTGAAAGGATGGTGGGAGGTAAAGGGAAGTTGAGAAGCCCAGAAGAGAAGGTTAAAAAGAACTGACTAAGGGGCAGATAAGGTGAAAATGGACGGGAATTGGTGGTGTTTGAGGTGAGTGAGGGAAGTTGAAGTGATTATTAGTGTGTTGATTGATCGAGGGAGGGGAAGGTTGAAGAGTATGGAGTTGAACAGATTTGGCGTAAGGAAATAAAGTATCTGAATTAGGAGGGTGCAAAGATGACAGAGAGGCAAGGGGTAGGTGGCGGTCGATCGGATTAAAGCATTGCGCTACGGGTGAGGAGAGGGTTAGGGGTTTGGGCTGAGATGCAAAAGCAGCAGAAGCAGGACGGTATTTGGGAGGTATCCAAATGGGCCCAGCCTTACGGGCCAAAATATGTTTTGGTCCATCTTTCATGTTAGATGAAGAGGGCCCATTAGGATCTCTATGGTTCAAAGAGACGCTTTGGCTTTCCATCATGTTGGAGTTCGAGGGCCACGTACGTCGAGGGCGGCTGCTGCATGCGGGTAAAGTGGGTTCAGAATCCGAGTGACGTCTGTTGATCTCCTGACCCTGACGTCGACGAGAGGAAACTTCCGGTGAGGCTTCTATTCCCGACGGAGGAACAAAAATTTTGACTTGGTAAACATTTGGACCGCGACGAACAGGAATAAACTCCGGTATGCTCGGATTCTTCTTGATTCTAATACGTACGAAGGGAAGAGAACAAGAGACCCAGTCAAGTTCGACGAATCCTCCGCAGAAATTTCCAATAGCTTTGAGTAATTCGATGCTTTTGAGGTGTAGCGGGATGTTGAAGGCTAGAATCCATCCTAATGACTCCATAGAGTGATTGTTGAAGGCCTCCCTACTGCTCACCTTGATTGTGAAATCCTTGAACTGCAATCTCTCGATTTTCCAAATGTGTAGAGCATCGGCGATGGACAGACAAATGAGGAACCATCTGCCATTGGAACGATCCTCTAGAGCATAGTTGTCGTCGATAGCCCAGGCTTTTGCTGAAGAAGGTGTTGCTACTGGTTTCGAACGAAATGAGTAAACTTCGTCAAGGATGTCGGTTCTCTCCTTGATCCCTTCACTGCCAACGTCAATATAACTTCCTTCATGGTTGGTTCTGATGGAGCATTTTCCTCCTCCATAAAAGCCCCGTATTTGACTGCATCTACGTAAGAATGCTGATGATGATCATCATGTATGGCGCCCTCGGACGGGATATTGGTCGCTAATTGATCGTGGTGGATGCGGGCGCGAAGTTCAGCTTTATAGAAAACTTGGAGGAGATGAATCGCCTTAGCCCATCCGCGATTGTTGCCCGAGGCCGGGATGATCACTTTGAAAACTTTTCCTGTGTTTGTTTGTTCAGATATCTGTAAGAACTCTCCACGGTGACTGTTGAACTTCCCGACATGGATGGAACGAGAACCACTCTTTTTGACACAATGTGAGGGGAGCTTCCAATCCCTCATTGCCGCCGTTTGAAGAGTCCCTTGAAGCCATATGATTTGACTTTCATCTAATAAGACAAACCATCTCCTTCTGCTGTCTTCCACTTGAAGCTTAAACATCCCTTCTGCTTTTCTGCTGAATTTGCTGATGGACACCCGCTTAGATCCGAGTGTCAGACTTCGTCAATTCTCTCCTCGCGTGCCAAAGCTATTATCTGACCCTGAAGCTTCATACCTGCAAGACAAAGACAAAGAAGAACCCTGAAATAAACTTCTTTCCGTTCCCATTCTTTCTCTCTCTCTAGCTTTCTCTCTCATGTTATATTGAGATACTAGTCCCTGTTCAAGAAGTTCGTCTAATATTTGTAGTTGATTTGTTTATTATTGACCAATGTAACCATAATTAAGATCTTTAAAAAAAGTAATCACAATTTAATTTATTGGTTAATAAATTTCAAAGACTCTATATGAAAAAACCTACAAACAGATTCAAAATACACGAAATGAAAAGCAGGAATAGAAGGATATAGACATTTGATCCCATTGAAAATTTTAGGGTAAATATATTTGTATGATCTGAACTTTTGCATATAATAAACATCCTGACCAATCTTTTTTTATCTATAACATCATGACCCAAACTATACATCAAAGTTACTAAATTGACCAAACTCGATGTTTGACCGTTATCTTTGACGGTCAAATGCGTTGACTAATGGTCAACACGCCACGTCATTACCAAGTCAGCACCTTTCACTTAAAAAATTATATATTTCCCACCTATAAAAATGGATATTTTATTTAAAAATACAATAATTTAAATAAAATTTTTAAAATAAATGGGTATTATGTTGAAAATTAATTAGAAATTACAGAAAATAAATGGTGAAATTTTTTAAATTTTCATTAAAATTTGTTTTCAATTTTTTTTTATTCTTTGCTCATATTTGTGGAAAATTTGAAGATAATATTATGTGGAAAATTAATTCGGAATGAGTGAATAAATGGTGGAAAATTTTTCAAATTTGGTTTTATTTGTGAAAAAATGGGTATTATGAGAAGATTAATTTGAAATCATTAAAAATAAATGATGGAATAAAAAAAAATATTTAAAAAATTATGGGATATATAAGGGGACCCGAAATTACTTTTTCCTTTATTTATTTATTTATTTTGGTTCAAAATGAAAAATAAAAATGGTAATAGGTGGAAAATATATAATTGTTTAAGTGAAAAGTGCTGACTTGGCAATGACATGACACGTTGACCATTAGTCAATGCATTTGACCGTCAAAGATAACGGTCAAATATCGAGTTTGGCCAATTTAGTAACTTTGATGTATAGTTTGAGCCAGAATGTTATAGATCGAAAAAATTGACCAGAATGTTTATTATGTGCAAAGTTGATGACATACAAAGATATTAATCCAAAATTCTAATTTCTTACTTTTACCAAAGAGTTTAACCGAATCCCATCTCTTCCATATCCAACCATATCCAATGGAACCAATTCTGTTTCCCAATTAAGAGTCAATCATTATATTGATTTGAATTTGATAGGATATAAACAATCATAGATGAAGTATAATAATGATCTACCATGTGCGTCTTTCTAAACAAAAACTACTTCACATGAGAGAATGTAAATCATTAAGAGGGCTAATTAATGTTTGATCCATCTCTCATACTAGAATAAGAAGAAAATTGGAAAGAAAGTGATGAACAATAGATCGAGAAGGCCTTTGGTTTTGATCCTCTTATATTTTGGAAAGAACCATGGAATCACAACAAATTAAATGCATAAAAATAAATTAATCATACACATAACTTCTTTTAAACTAGATAAAACTTATGCCTTTATTCTAATTCATAATTAACCCATATTCGAAAAGTCCTTGAGAATCACAAGGAGTCATAGTTAAATGTTCTTAAACTGGGGACTTATGAGTGAAAACAAAATCACATTGCATATCAGTTTGACCTCGTCAAGATCAAGTGACATCACTATTTACTGTGACTAAAATCCTTGCGCATCCTTACCATTTACTAGTCTGTGTTATTTGTTTCCCTAATACGTTTAAAGAATGATTAAGTTAATAGGTCCTTACAGCTCAAACAACTGGTTCTATGGTGTAGTGGTTAGCACTCTGGACTTTGAATCCAGCGACCTGGGTTCGACTCCCGGTAGGACCTTTTTACTATCCCCGCTAAATTCGTAATCTTTCTGTTCTGACTTTTGACTTTTTTTTTTTTTATAAACTAAATAGTAGCCATTTTAATTTATCAATTTCCCAACAATTTCGTTTTCCCTGCCGTCCTTTTCCCGATTCGCTCAGTCACTCTGTCTGCCGAAGCTCAGGCGGCGAAAATGGAAGGGGTGAACTACGAAACCCTAGCAATCAAGCAAAATTCTCCGGTCGTATACCTCTACCTCAACCGCCCGCGGCAGCGCAACGCTCTATCCCGCGAATTCTTCTCAGAATTCCCCAAAGCCCTCGCCTCCCTCGACCAAAACCCTAGCGTCAGTGTAATCGTCCTCTCCGGCACCGGCGACCACTTCTGCTCCGGAATTGACCTAACAACCTTCGCCTCCATAAAAAATCAGTCCGGATCCCTCCGTCCAGGACGCGCCAACGAGTGGCTCCGCCGGGACATCAAGTTCCTGCAGGACGCCATTACGGCGATCGAGCTGTGCAGAAAGCCCGTCATTGCCGCGATCCGTGGAGCCTGCATCGGCGGTGGAATCGATATCGTGACCGCCTGTGATGTAAGGTATTGCACGGAGGACGCCTTTTTTTCCGTCAAAGAGGTGGATTTGGCGATTACTGCTGATTTGGGGACGCTGCAGAGGCTTCCTGCGATTGTCGGGTTTGGGAACGCGATGGAATTGAGCTTAACGGGTCGCACATTCTCGGGTCAGGAGGCCAAAGAGTTGGGTCTGGTTTCCCGGGTTTTTGGTTCCAAGGAGGAATTGGGTGAAGGCGTGAGACTTATTGCAGAAGGTTAATAAAACTCGGCTAAGCCTATATTGTTCTGTCCATTACTGATTATTTTAGGTTGTTTTGCTTATTTAGTAAATGAATTTGTTAGCAGGGATTGCTGCAAAATCGCCGCTTGCTGTGATTGGAACAAAATCCGTGCTTTTGAAGAGCAGGGATATGAATGTAGATCAAGGATTGGATTATGTAGCAACTTGGAACTCTGCAATGCTTATGTCTGATGATTTAACAGAGGCCATCTCGGCACAATTGCAGAAAAGGAAGCCTGCCTTTGCCAAGCTTTGATGTCGCTTTTTTGTGTGTCATTTTACTTGCAGAATAAAGGGAAAATGGTACTATGATGTTGTTGTCTGTTGTATTTTGAATCTGGTGAATTCAGTATGAAACGAAAAGTTTGAATGAAACCTGAAAATCTGCTATCAGTTGTTGTCCTTGTTGACAGTTCACGATGCAATAAAGTTGCCTTCTTGATGGATTACTGTCTTCTATTTTGTTATTTCTGGCCTATTCTCTTTTCATAAACTATGAACGACATATGCCCGACTGGGTTCTGAACCGAATGCAACAGTATATAAGAGTACGGTCGTGACAAGGCTATCAAAACGACGAGTTGATTGAGAGTTGGTGCCAAACATCAGGAAGTATAAGTAGGTTTTTCGTTAGTTCAAATCGTGAAAATGGTCAAAATCAGCACATAGGAAAAAGCTTCATGCATGTGGTTCCTGTTAGAGTTTAATCAATTGTCACCCTTTCTGGCTTCCTATCTTCTTTCAATTCTTTTTGTTTGGTTTCTCTTGTTTGGCATCCCTGATAGCTGAAGGTCCTCTCTTTGACAGGTGAACGATCACAAAGATTGCTCAGCACAGTAAAGGAAGATTTGTGGAAGGTAAAGCAGCCGCCCCGCGCAGGATAAGCTAAGCCAAGCCGCGATGCCACTTGCCACCTAAATGGAAGGTAGGCTTAGAAGGCAAAGTGCCGCAGACTGAAAATGGGGAAACAGATCCACACACTTTGTTCCCATTCCGAGCCCTCCTCAACTCGGTAAAACCCTTGCTCTGTTTCTTTCTTGGCTCACCTGTTTATCTTTATACCTGATGTGGATTCCAAAACCTGAATCAGTATGTGTAAGTAGAATGTAGTAGTATTACATAAATTTGAATACAGTATGTGTACATAGAAGGGTATATTACATAATCTGCACGTATCTGAAATGGGTTCTCTTCTGATAGTCCTTACTGAAAGTTGCAACAGCTTTCTGGCAAATCAGAGGATTAGGACTTGAGCCAAAGCCTAATCGAGCATATATAGTTGTGCATGTAAGATAAGCAAGCAAAGACAGAGAGTCGAATCTCATGCCACTAACATGTTAATTGATTGAAGTGGATCCCCTTTATGTCTAATTACCTTTTCATGATTAGGCTGAACTATTATTGGAGCAAATCTCGGTAGATACTTAATCAAACACTCTCTTATGGAAAAGTCGGACGATACTCCATAGTATTATTGTATGGGTCATGCCTCCGTCTAATGCCCCCAAAAAAAGAATATAGGGGCGTTTGGTTTGAAATGGACAGGTCTTAGAATATGGGTATATGAGAATGTCATTAAGATTTCTTTTTTTTGTGTATTTGAATTGTGAAGATTTTACGATTTGGATTGATCGTAAGGATCGATACATGAAATTGATGTGTGTTTCGGTTCACATGCTTGTTGTTAAGTACTGTCTGTGTCTTGTAATTATCATGTATTTGATGCTAACTATATGACCAAAAGTCCGACGAAAACTAATCACAAGAATTAAGGGAGGGTATAGGGCATAATGCCCTTGTACACGTTACTCTATGGCATTAAGTATCTCTATCAGATGGATGCATACTGCCTTCGTTCCTCTTTGCTCGTTAAATAGGCTGTTCAAACGGGGCATTAGTTTGGTTTGGTCAGAAATTTTAAATTGTTTGATTTAGGTGGGTTGGTAAAATATTTGAAAACATTGTCAACTAATCGAATCAATTAGACAATATATTTAACATATTATAAACCTCATACTTATGCTTTGCATAATCATTCAAGAGTTGAGCGTTTCTTCTTTTTGGACCCATAAAAAAACAGAGGTTATAATTGCTGTTATGCTATATTTGGCTTGTAGACATTAGGCAACAACATATGAGCTACTAATTATAATGTTGAATGAAAGCATGAAATACCAGGAAGATATTTTTCAACCTCAGATAAATGCTATGAGACAGCCAATCCACACAAACTGTTAGAAACAAAGTTTCTAACAGGTTTTGGATTGGGTGGATATTTGGGAATTGAGTGAGAAGATAGAATTAGAGATTTGAGAGAAGAATTGGGGAAGGACAGAAGAGAATGGTCGGCGGCCGGATTAGAGGTAGAGGAGAAATTGAGAGGATTTGAGAGAGAATATGGTTTAGGGAGATAGACTTTTCTTAATTCTTTTCTGATTAATTCTGATAATTACCCTAATAAAATCGAGAAGCCTTGGTGATGGTCCTGGCGACGACAGAGGCCAAGTGGAGATTGTCTTCCTCCTAGCTCATCGAGTGTAGGAAATGCAAGGTGCGGAGATGGAGATGACTTGCTGAGCCACCGTTGGGGGCGTAGGACTTCCCCAAGAGCTAGTTGAGGATGCGCCACTCTGGGCGCATATGAGTAGCGGTGGTCGAACCCTGTGTGAACACATCGCCCGCGAACTCTTGGAGGCAGATCCTCTCGAAGAAATGCTGGTCCCGGAAGATAGGAGTGTCTTTTTCTTCGATGGTGAGGTGGCAAGCAAATGGCGGAAGAAGTCATCATAGCTTAGGGAATAAGACTCCCCGCCAAGCTTGAAGTTGATGGCGTTGCCGTGAGGGCCCGCTCGGGTCTAAAAGGGCACGGAGGTGGCATAGAACTCCCATAAGTGGCCATCCCCTTCGGTAGCTGCTTGCCCACCAGATAATTGGAAAAGTCAAAATACCAAGGGGCAACGCTCTCCACCAAGGTCATCGCCAGCAATCGCTCACCCGGGAAAGAGTCGTTGATCTCTTCCACGAAGTTGTCCACCGGAGGAGCTTCCAACCGTGAAAGATGATCTGCAGCAACGTTTTCAGCTCCCTTCTTATCCCGGATCTCAATATCAAATTCCTGTAGAAGGAGGATCCAGCGGATGCGGCTAGGCTTTGCATCAGTCTTGCTCATCATGTAGCAAATCACGGAGTGGTCTCTATAGACCACCACATGGAAGAGCACCAGATATGGTCGGAACTTGTCAAATGCGTACACCACAACGAGTAGCTCCTTTTCAGTGGTGGTGTAATTCTTCTGTGCATTGTTCAAGGTCTTCAGAATGAGTTCCAGGTTATGGAGACAATGAGTGAAGGAATCTCCGTAAACCGAGAAGTCGTCCATAAAGACTTCCATGATCTCTCCAACCAGTCGGTCGAATATCGCCAGCATGCATCTCTGGAAGGTCATCGATGAATTACATAGTCCGAATGGAATCCTCTGGTAAGCAAAAGTACCAAAGGGGCAAGTGAATGTGGTCTTCGCCTGATCCTCTAGCGCGATAGGAATCTGGATATAACCAGACAATCCATCGAGGAAGCAATAAAACTCATGGGCAACCAACCTCTCCAGCATCTGATCAATGAAAGGTAGGGGAAAATGCTCCTTCCTGATGGCGTCGTTCAGGCGCCTGTAATCGATGCAGACTCTCTAGCCAGTCACGGTCCGCATCGGGATCAACTCGTTTTTTTCATTCGGGACCACAGTCCTCCCGCCTTTCTTCGGAACCACCTGAGTGGGACTGACCCACTTGCTATCAGATATAGCAAAGATGATTCCTACCTCCATCAGCTTCACAATCTCTGCCCACACCACTGCATCTAAGTTAAGAGACAATCTCCGCTGTGGCTGCCTGACTGGCTTAACCTCATCCTCCATCAGAATTTTGTGGGAGCAGAAGGATGGGCTAATGCCTCTGATGTCTGTTATCTTCCACGCCATGGCCCGGAATACTACTGTAGCAGAGTCACCAACTTGTTCTTCTACTCGGGTGTCAGATCCGAGCTAAAAATGACAGGGAGCTTATTTCCCTCTCGGATAAATGCATACTCCAGGTGAGCGGGGAGGGGCTTAAGCTCTAGCTCTGGTGGCTCCTCCAATTATGTGGCTATCCGGGGCGAGATAGGGATCGGCTTGAATGGTTTCTCTCACCCCTCGATCGGCTTGAATGGCTTCATCTAGCTCCGCGAGCTGCTCCTCCAGCTGCAACTCCTATGATGCCTGTTCTCCTAGAAATATACAACGCTCGAGGAAATGGTCAGTACCGGCACTCGTGATAGCGAGTGCGGTCTCAAAATCACCAATAACATCGCAGTAATCGAGATCATCATGGATCTGGGGTGTGTTTCATATTATCAGAAACAGAGAAAGTGATTTGCTCATCCCAGCCCTCAAAATCAACTTCCAATCATTCACATCAATAAGTGCCTTGGCAGTGGCGAGAAAAGGTCTACCCAATATTAAAGGCACATCCACATCCTCATTTATATCAAGAATCACAAAATCAACAGGATATGAGAATTGCCTTACAGGGACTATCAAGTCATCTACAATGCCCCTAGGATGCACAATGGATCTATCAGTAAGTTGAATGCTCATCCTAGTATTACTGGGTTCACCTAGGCCTAGCTTTTTAAACAGTTTATATGGCATGACGTTTATGCTAGCGCCTAAATCCGTCAAGGACTTTCCTACATGCAAGCTACCAATCATACAAGGGATAGTGAAGCTCGCTGGGTCTTTGCGCTTCTCTGGTAGCTTGTTCTGCAAGATGGCAGAAAACTCCTCATTGAGCATCATCGTCGACAGCTCCCCAAGCTTCCTCTTGTTGGTGAGGAGGTCCTTCATGAACTTAGCATATTCGGGCATATTGGATAATGTCTCCACGAAGGGCATACTGATGTTTACCTGCTTCAGCATTGCCATGAACTTGGCAAACTCAGTCTCTAGTCGGTCTTTGTGCAACTGAGTAGGAAAGGGAAGTTGCGGGACAAACTCCTTCACCACTGGTTGTGGCTTCGGAGTAGGCACCTCAACCTCCTTCTCCATTTCTTCTTTATTAGTTGGAAGTGCTGAAGCAGGTGTCTCTCTCTCCTGTTTTGCCTGGACAGGTGGGTCAGCAGTCACTTTGCCACTGCTGGTAGTAATGGCCTTTCAGTGCTCATTGGGTCCTGCGGATGAGGAATGGTATGACCGGGTAAAGTACCAGGAGTCCTCTGGGCTACAGCCTGTCCCAAGATGGGTCTAGATATCCCGCAATTTAGCCTGTGTGTTTCTCTGGCCATCCTCGAGCTCCATGAATTTACCAGAGGCTTTTTCCATGAACTGCTCGATATTACTGAACTTATTAGCACTGGAAGTGGCAAGAGAACCCACCATATTGCGCAAATCGGCATTCAGATCACTCTGTATTGGGGCTGCGGGGGCTGCACCTGACAGCTGAAATGGTCGCATCTGTGACTGAGGGGGAACTGACCCCTGTCTGGGCGGGTAAAGTGGTTGTTGCTGCTGGAATTGCCCTTGTCTGGGCTGGTAAGGAGGCCTCTAGTAGCCTGGCGGTCCCTAGGAGACTGGTGGTCTATGATTGGTCCCACCCCGAGAGAAGTTGGGATGCTGGCGCCACCCCTCGTTGTAAGTGTTGCTTTAGGGGTCGAAAAGCCTGACATTGCCGATGAAGTCCACCTGCTCCTGGAGAGTAGTCGACTCCCTCATCGCCTGACAGTCCTCCATAGTGTGATGGGAGCTTTCGCACCACTAGCAGTGCATCGCCTGTTGCTGTGCTGTCCCTGAAACCAGTCGAAAATGATCGATGGCTGAGACTAGTTTAGATACCACCTGCACCAACTCAGACGACAGGGTGGCCACATAATGCACACCGAGACCTGGTGCTCGCCTCGATCTCCTAGCAGTCCCCCAATCATATTCCTGCTCTGCCATCTCTTCAAAGAGTCTATTCAGCTGCAACGGGGTCTTTGTCAGCATATTCCCGCCGCAGACCGAGTTAATCAACTGCTTGTCTTCTGGGAAGAGGGCGTGGTAGAAAGTGCCCACCTTAAAGGCGCAATTGAACCCATGATTGGGACACTTCAGGAAAAGACTGGTGTATCTTTCCCAAGCATCCCGAATGGTTTCATCTTCCTCCTGGGCAAACTGGGTGATTTGCTTCTGCAGGTCCGCCGTCTTGGACAGAGGATGATAGCGGGTGAGAAATTTGTCCGCCGGGTTGGCGAACGTGGTGATCGATCCTGGAGGCCGAGTGTCTAGCCACTCTGTGGCTTGCCCTTCTAGAGTAAAGGGGAAGTACCTTAGCTGAATGGCATCGGCTGGGACCCCATTTATCTTGATCCCATCTATGAGCTTGTGGAACTGCCTCAGGTGTGATCGGGGGCACTCTCCCTCCTTGCCACGGAATACTACTGAGCCGTGCAGCATGGTGATGATAGAGGTACTAACCTCAAAGTTGTTGGCAGCAACTAGGGGTGTACATGGGTCAGATGGTTCGGGTTTAATCATTTTAATCACCCGACCTATGCACTACGGTTTGAGAAATATTAAACCCAAACCCACCCAAAAAAAATTAAACCCTACGGATTATTTCTAATTGGGTTGGGTCGGGTTGGCGATATTTTTAAGTAAAAACCCAACCCAACACAAAATATGTAATTATTCTACAACATAAAATATATTTTATAAATAACTAAATTTCAAATGAATAAACCGAGGTGAAAGGCATCAAATTTCACAAATGTTGTTTCAATTTTAATAAAATTTGATTTACTTCAACATATGTCTAATTTTTTTCACGATATTTGTTAAAATACGCTAAAAAGGTTATAAACGAATGCACCCATAATATGTTATTCTATTAAAATTGTACACAAGAAAAAGGATTACGTGAATCATAGCTATATTAAATTTATGTCTAAACTTTAAACCTAAAAATGCATTAAAATAGGGAGACAATGAGAGAAAAACATGGTGAAATATCTTAATTTTAGCATAATTATAAATGACATAAATATTTTTGGATACGAACTCCTACCAATAGTTGGAACACGGGTTGGGTCGGGTTCTACGGGTTCTGTAATCCAAAATCCAAACCCAACCCAATAGAGGCGGGTTGTGCAAAAGAAAACCCTCACCCAACCCGAAACCTTTGTTTTAGCGATAAATACGGGTGGGTTGGGTCGGGTTGGACGAATGGGTCGGTTTACGGGTGTGTTTGTTCACCCCTAGCAGCAACTTGAGGGTGTTGGATGGGCGACCTCATGTCCGCGGCTCTGCTGGTCCAGTAATATCCCATTGTGTGCTCATCTGGGACAACCACATCGTTGTCTTGAGGCTCACCCATGGCTTCCTCCTGATTGATCTGAAGCTGTGCTAGGGCCTCCTCCGAATCCAGTCGCGCCTTTAAGGCCCGCTTGAAGTTCCTACAAGTCTGTTCAAGCTTTTGTTCTAACGGTAGTAAGTCACCTAACTTGCTACAGGTCATGCACTACCTGCACACAGAATGCAAACACAACCCGTGAAGGCACAAAGGTGGAAGAGGGAGAATGTCGTAAAGAAAAAAACTAGAGTAACAAATTTTCACGTTTCCACAATAACCTAGTAGTCCTCGGCAACAACGCCAAAAACTTGACACGCTAAAACACAACACCAGACTGCGACCAAGTGTATCGCTCCTCGGAAATGTAGTAAAGTGGCAATTTCTATTTATCAACCCGTGGTCTAGATCTACCGCCTACTCCTTGATGATTTATTATCTAGCAAACTAAGTAGATTGAATATGGTTTTAAGCAAAAGCAGTAAGAAATCAGGAAATGGTTCGAAGTTCTTAAGCAGGGGAAGAGTCACTCGGGAATGAGTCCCCCTAGATCCTTAGTTAGGTCAAAGTTGTAATTACCTTTGGTTGATTTACCGTTTATTAAACTGCGGAAGATCCGACAGTAGCTTGGAATCCTTAAGCTGACCAAGCCCTCTCTGACAGACTAACCGGCAGGCAACTAGCCCTTCACCGGGATTAGACTGCTGAGGCAATAAACACAGAACTCCACTACTGGAATTGGATTCCAGTACAAAGCAGTAAATCGATTAACTCTTTTATTACCAATCTACTACTACCGATTGATGAAGCTCTAACAACCTAATCAGATTCTATCCATCTCAAGTTGCAGCAGAAATCAAGAAAAGATGATCAGGCTTTAATTGGCTCAATGAATCATGCATCAATCGATTAAAATCAATCAGTATATCAATCCAAAGTCATTACAATCAAGATTCCTAACACATGGAACTAGGGTTCTTCATACCCAAGTGAGAGAAGGTTCTACTTCACAGAGAGAGTGGAAAACAGAAATCAGAGCAGTCATACTCATAAAGATGGGGATAATCTACTCTGGGATGTCGATCTTCACTCCCGTGGATGCAATATGGGCTTCAATGGTCAGTAATCCACTCCAAATAGCTCCCTATGCCTCGAATCTGCCTCATAAACCCGATTCTGTGCGAAATACGGGCTGAATTATGGTTGTAATCATGGCATGCCCTTATTTCACCCAAAACGCACGTTTCACTTAACACTGATGAAGGGAATTACGGTCGCCATTACCCAATTACTTCCAGTATTCGTGGAATTACGACCGTAATTCATTCCTTTCTTGCCCGTATTTTGCTCTTCGACAGACATTCTCAGGGATTTGGCTCGACATTAAAATTACGGTCAGGACAGTGGCAACTACGCTCATAATTATGCAGGGGATGCTTGTATTTTGAATCTTGAATCGCCAACTAACCTCCAAATGACCCGAAACTTGCGCCTATGCATCCCTTTACTTGCTAGAACCTGAGATATGACAAAACATCACAACCTAGAGTAAAATAGGCCAAGGAACCACAAATTCGAGCTAAAATGGTCAGGAAACAAGAGTGCAAACATGTGCAAATACGATGCTATCACCTGGTTTGGCCAGCAGTGGACCAGTACATGTCAGTGTTGATAATCTGATGCAGGCCACTGGTGTCAAAGTTGTGGCTGATGTCATTCATCTTGAAACACCATCATTGTTTATGCTAGGGCAGAAGTTGGTTCCTGTGAGCTTTTCTGAAAATGTATCTTTTGCTTCTTCTGACACTACTAGAGGTAACTCTGAGACTCCTCATAGCATAATTAGGAAGATTCCATCTTCAACACCACCCTCTTCATCACCATCGAGAAATCTATGAGTAATTTTGTACTAACAAGAAATGCTTTAGGTCTATATACTTTTATCGTTATGTTTTATCTGCTTTTCTTTTCTCGTTTGTTCAAGGTTAGTCTCGTCACTGGCGAAGGTGAAGGTTGAGAACTTGGAGTCTTCTGGAACCAAGGAGGGTGATGACAAACGGACTGGTGGTGAGACTCTGAGTGCTGCACCATTCACACTTGGGGAACCTACTCCGTCACAAGAAACTCTTAAGCATTCTTATGCTAAGTGTCGCCTATATGGGGATTAGGTTTTTGTGCATGTATGTGTATGCTTCTGTGATATCACACAGGGTTTTCAATATGATAATGCTTCTCTGGCTAATTTTTCTTGGTTGAAATTTTTTTTTGGTGAGCTTGCATCAACAGTGAATTTATTATTTTGTCCATTAGGTAAGCAGAGGGGTTCATGGAGGTTGGTTGATGCTTGGATGATGATTTTGGGGTTGTTGTTGTTCGCTTTTTGTTGTGCCTAGGGATCGAGTTGATTGGAATCAACTTGATGCATTTGGGAAGTTTCTTTAAAACATTTTGGATACTTCCTCTACAAACCAGCTCTCTGCAAGGTCCCTTTGATGCTCTCTGATCCATTGGTGAACATGATTATCATGTCATGTAGTTGTGAATGTTTTAGGTGTCTTGAATGTGGTTTGTTGGGAGATCACAATGTAGTGCTGTAATTTCAATTTTGGGACAAGCCTCTTCTATTGTTTTCTGTTGTACTATTGTTAGTGGTTTATTTTTCTTGGATTATTAGAAGACCTCAGACATTAATATACATAGCTGCCTTTGTGAAGTAGTGATCGGTTATGTTTATCAGTTTAATTTCTATGACATTTTGATGCAGTGCAGTGGTTAAGTTGTGACTTCATTGTGTATTTGTGTTGAGTGACCAAGTTGTGTACTGTGTTGTGTGACTTGTGTTTGGTTAATTTGTTGATATAAGTAAACAGTTTGCTTAGAAATCATTCTGGTGTATAACAATCATTGAATTATTACTATTTATAGAATTAGGCTTTAAGTGGTGATAATGAAATACCAGTTGCTAAATATCTAATCTTTCAATGTAACAATGAGTGATTGAATCAATCAAGATTAAGCAATTAATGCTTGCTAGATCTCTAAATCTCGCAAAAGTATCATCCATATAAACAAATTATTTAATCATTGCTTTTAACAAGTACATTTGGCACCAACAGGTTGTATGTGGACAAACCATTAATAGCTATTTAATGCAGAACAGAAACATAATATGCACCAACGTGTTACTCGCCAGAAAGCTGAAAGGCTGAGCCGCCGCTCAGGCATTCCTCTGACAGCGGACCTGGGAAAGTACCTTGGGATACAGACGATTAACGGGCGCATCACTAAGGGGAGATACCAGTCTCTCCTTCTTCGGATTCAAAAGAAGTTAGCCCCCTGGAAAGCCAGGCGTCTCTCTTTTGCGGCTAGGCTTACTGTTGCTAAGTCAGTTTCCGCGTCTTTACCTGTCTACCATATGAATACTGAGCTAATCCCGGTTGGTGTTTGCAAAAGCATTGATAAAATTAACAGGGATTTCATTTGGGGTGATGAGGAGAACAAGAGCAAGATGCACTTAGTGGCTTGGGAGAAGATGACTTTACCTAAGAACCTGGGCGGAGCTGGCATCAGACCCACAAGACAGGCTAATCTGGCCATGTTGGCGAAAGGTGGTTGGAGACTACTCAAGGAGAAGGATACCCTTTGGACACAGATAATGTACTCCAAGTATGGGCGCCAACAGAGACATCTAGACATTCTGCGACCTTCTCAGGGAAGTTCCTTTACCTGGGCAAGCTTCACAAAAGCTGCCTCCCTCCTTAAAAAGGGTTGTGCCTGGAATATTAAGAACGGTAAGCACACTAAATTTTGGCTTGATCCCTGGGTGTTGCAGGTCCCTCTCAAGGAGATAGCTATTGGCCAGTTGCCGGCAGGAAGCGAGGAGATGACTGTAGCTGATTTTGTGCATGATGATGGGACCTGGCGGACGGATTTGTTCGAAAGACTCCTTCCCCCATCTATCTCCCAAAAGATCCTTAGCGTGGCGGTAGATAAACTCTCCATAGAGGATGACACTCTCTTCTGGTCGGCTTCCTCGGACGGAAATTTCTCGGCCCGGTCAGCTTTCAACCTCAGTAATGATCACCAGCAGGATGTGGATGAACCCCTTTGGAAGGCAATTTGGAAGCTACCGGTCGTCGAAAGAGTGAGAAGCTTTACCTGGCTAGTCGCGTTGGGAAGGATCGCCACGAACGGACTTCGACACACTAGGAAGGTAGCGGATGACCCTTCATGCTATAGATGCATTGGCCAGTCTGAGACGGTCCTTCATGCTTTGAGAGACTGCTCACCAGCGAGTTTCTTCTGGTCTCGAAGAGTGCCTCCTTCCCGACAACACTCCTTCTTCAGCTCTAATCTGAGGGATTGGCTGCGGGAGAACATCTTGAGCAAAGACAGCATGGCCACAGGTATGGATTGGTCGGCCTTCTTCTGCACTTCTTGCTGGCTCATTTGGAAGAACAGGTCGACAGCTTGCTTTGAAGGTATGGGGGCAGCTCTCTCTCCTCATTCTCTTGAGCATGCTATTATGGCGAAAACCAAGCTCTGGCATGATGCTTGGAATGCGCCGTCCCGCCTCCCCAGTAATAGACAGGCTCCAGCGGATTGGGTTTTGGCGCATGTTGGATGGACGCCCCCGCCTGAGGGATGGCTGTCCCTCCATGTCGACGGTGCTTCTTCAGGGAACCCTGGCCCCGCCGGGGCGGGTGGTGTTCTCCGAGATTCGAGTGGTAGGTGGGTTGCAGGTTTTGTGGCGAATCTTGGTACAGCGACGGCCGCTCTCTCTGAACTGTGGGCCATTAGCTATGGGCTCGACATCGCGCGGAAAGCTGGCTGCAGATTCCTTCAGGTGGCCTCGGACTCTCAACTGGCGATTCAGCTGATCAGTACTCGGCAGGACCCGATCCACCCTTATGCGACCTTGTTGACAGCTATTAGAAGGAAGATTGGGAGTGATTGGGTGGTACGCATAGCTCATACATACCGGGAAGGGAATAGAGTCGCGGACTGGCTCTCGAAGCACAGTCTCGTCTATCCCTACGGTATGCATGAACTTGCGGACCCACCCAATGGAGTGACTTCGATCCTCAGGGATGATATGCTTGGGACTACTTTTGAGCGGCGTATCATTACCTCCTCCACCCCCCCTCTGTAATCTCCTCCTGTAATTGTTTCTTGTTCTTGGCCTTGGCCTCCTATCAATGCAAAAAAAAGAAAATAAAATATGAGGATATATATATATATATATATATATATATATATATGGTGACTTCTACGGTACCCCAGGTGAAATCCGGGGTACCGCATACTTTAAGTATGAAAACGCTATCTAAACCTCGAATTAGCAGGATTTTTAGGCATGATACTATACCTTAACCCTTCATGAGTGAACCCTAGGTCCTAATTATCTAAATCATAAACTATAAACCCTAAAGATGGTGCATTGATTTTTTTGCCTTGATTTGGACGAATCATAACTGTAGATTATTGTTTCTAATTAAATTGATCTTGGGGTATAAGATTTAGAGAATTAAGACCTGGATTTTGATCTTTAAGGGTTAGAGTATAGTATTATGTCTGAAAGATAAGTCAATTCAAGTTATGGACATTGTTTTCTTACTCAAGGTATGCGGTACACCGGATTTCACCCTAGGTACCGTAGAACTCCCTATATATATACATAAAAGATACTTGACTCATGTTGATTTGATAGAAAGCAGTTAGATCAAGTCTATACAAGGCCATTAATGAAACAATAATGCTCTTAATTGCTCATTTATGTTTCATTCCTCTTTTGCTGGATTTCTATGCATCTTGAAGACTCCTCTGAGGTTAGCCATAAATGCAATAAGACCTTTGAGAAAAATCTCTTTAGATTGATTAAGTTCTGAGTTAGACTAGCAAACTAACATGCTGGGAAAACAAGTTAGTTGCTGCAAAATTTGTTCAGCATTAGTGTCAGTCATCTTTTCTTATTATTAGTTCATTCAAGGTTGACGCTAATGATGGACTTTTCTTTATGTCTCTATGGAAACTGTGGAGCCATAAATAAGGTTACTGATCTTTGTCATGCTTCATTATTGCAGCATGCCACCAAGGAAGAGATCAACAACTTACCAAGCATTGAAACAAAGGACGAGTGATTACTCTTTCTCTTCTTAGTTCTCTCATGGACCTTTGGATTCATTCCCACCAGTTGAATTAGATAATACTAGAATTAACAAGAAATCACGGAAGCTTCCGCTTGTGTAATCAGGTGAGAATGCATATACCTCAGGATATAGTTGCAGCACTGAATTTCCTCTAGATCCTTACAGAGAACACACTGAAGGTCCAAGGTCAGATAATACATTCCCATGCACCCCTTCAAAAAGGAAAGCTTACCTTTTGTCCAAAAAGGTTACAACTACAAGAAGACCATTGCATAATGACATACTAAATATCGGTAAACGAGAATGTGTTTGTCAGTAATGTGGGGCATTATTTTGGTGCAGTGAGCGCCTAGATCAACACAAAAAACAACAAATCCTGTGTACAGTTTGTGTTGTCAGAAAGGGAAAGTCAATATTTCATTGCTCAAACACCCACCTCCACTACTTGCCCAGTTACTTGATCTAAATGGTGGAGCATTGTCTAAACATTTCAGGGATAACATCGGGACATATAATGGATTGTTATGTTTCATTTCTTTTGATGCAAAGCTGGATCCCCGCTCGCTCACAAGCAGAGGACCATACTCAATGGTCATTTGTGGAGAGAACTATCATAGAATTGGTTCAGTACTTCCAATCGATGGGGAACGACCCAAATTTTCTCAGTTGTATATCTTCGAGCCTAACAATGAAGTTGACAATAGATTGGCAAATTTTGCATCTCAAGAAGAAGTTCTACTACCAGATTTACTAGCTTCTCTACTGAGAATGCTTGATGAAACGAATGAATTAGTCAAGACATTCAGGCGCATTTGATAGAATCTACAACTATCTTCCACACCAAATCTACGACTTTGCATATTTGGCATCAAAAGCAGATATCGACAATACTATCTGCCAAAAAGCAGTGACGTCACTGCATTAATTCTTGGTGATTTTATACCAGATAGAGAGGATAGAGACATCATTGTGGACTATCAAGAAGAGGGATTGAAACGCATCTCAAGTCTTAATCCAAAATTAGAGGCCCTGTATTTCCCGTTACTTTTCCCTCTTATTCCATACAATAGTAGATTTTGTCCAGCATCAATGCGAAGGCAATTTGTAACACAAAAGGAATACTACGCTTTCAGACTTCGATATAGATTGAACGAGGGACACACATTAATCTAAAGTGGGAAGGCGCTGCAGCACTACTGCGTAGATGCATTTTCAACGATCGAGCTTAATCGATTAGCATTCTTAAGGACTCATCAAATGGACCTCAGGTTTGAAGTGCATCATGGCTTGGAGGATGCATTTAGCAAAGGAGACATGGAGGGAGATAAGCTTGGACACATTATAATACCTTCATCATATATATGAGGGCCTTGGTATATGCAACAACTCTATCTTGATGCGATGGCAACCTGTCAATAATACGAAAATTCAGATCTTTTTGTTACATTTACATGTAATGCTCTTTGGGAAGAAATTGATGAAGCTTTTCAGAAATCGTTGGACCAAACAGCGAATTGAAACCAATGTTTGTTTTTCGTGTGTTTCATATGAAGCTCAATAAGCACATTGAAGAATTCAAGCGAGATTCTTATTTTAGGAAGACAATTGCAAGTACGTAGCCTCTAAACTATCAGCCTCCGCACAAGCAGTTACATGATTTATTTATGATATGTGCAATATATTGATTCTTATGAATGTACACATTCTTGGTAGCAGTTATTTATACAGCAGAGTTTCAGAAAAGAGGCCTCCCACAAGTCCATATGCTTATTTTGCTAGCAGAGGAGGATAAACCGAAGACAACCAGAGATGTAAACGAGTTGATATCAACAAAGATTCCTTATCCCCATTTAGATTCAGAAGGACATGCTGCAGTGGTGAAATTCATGCTTCATGGTACTTGTCAAGTACATAATCTGAATTCAACGTGTATGAAGGATGGCAAGTGCTCAAAACATTTTCCCAAAGCTCAATTCAGAAACATCATATGGCAACTTTGGAAATGTCGTAAACAGACAAAGAGATTCAGGGATACAAGTGCAAAAACGAAAAATGATGTTGGACAATAGGTATGTTGTTCCAAACAACACCTATTAGTCAGGGCAACATATTAATGTCAAAATCAATCACAATGGAGGATTGGTGAAATATTTTTTTAAATGCATCACAAACGGACCATATAGATAAATTATTATTACAGAAGAGTCAGTAAGTTCAGCACAAGTGCCCTCACCAGTTCAAAGAAAACAAAAGATTAAATACAAGAGTTTATTAATTGCAGGTCGTTATCCTCATATGAAGCTGTGTGGAGATCAATGAGTATGCTATTTACTATAGAGAACCAAACATCGTTCGTCTTGTTCCGCATCTGTCTGGCCAGCAAAACGTTCCTTACAAGAAACAATCGGATATTCGATACATTCTAAAGAATCCAAAGGTTGGGAAAACTCATCTGACTTCATGGTTTTTACCCAATCGACAGGATCCTGAAGCGAGAAAGCTTACTTATTCCCAAATACCAGGTGCATACTCATGAAATGATGACTACAATGAGTGGACTCCAAGGAAAGGAGGGTTTACTATAGGAAGAATTGCATATGTTCCTTTCGACAACAGTGATGTCTTATTTCTCCGATTATTGTTTACAGTAGTCCGTGGACTTGAGAGCAACCTGGCCTTGCGAACTGTCAAGGGAGAAATCTGTGCCATCTATGATAAATCATGTGAGAAATTGGGGGCTTCTAGCTGATTCTTCAGAGTAGATTAGGGTTCTTGAAGAAATATCAGTTTCAAGCATGCCCGACCTTATGAGAAGCACCTTTATTTCTATGCTCATGTTCTGTGAGATACCTAATCCCCGTGCTTTATTTGATTCGTCATGGAAGTTGATGGGTGAGGATCATGCATATCCTCTACATAAGCATCTTCATTCAACCACATTTCAACCTATAGAAGAAAGATTGCAGAATTGGGTGTTGCACCAAATAGAAGACTTGCTGGGAACTTATGGTTCATCTCTCAAACAATTCCATCTCCCAAAACCAGGAGCAACAGCTAGCAGACACAATGCTTCGTTCTCTCAATCTGCAACAGTTTGAAGCTTTCTCAACGATTCTGCTATCAGTCAACAACAATCTTGGGAGGGAATTTTTCTTATATGGTCATGGAGGAACATGCAAAACATTTTTGTACAATGCTATAATTGCAAAGTTGAAGAGTTTATAAAAAATTGCAGTGGTTGTAGCCTCATAAGGAATTGTCGCGACCCTCTTACCAAATGGCACAACAACACATTCAAGATTAAAAATTCCTCTTAGTTTGGATAACACATCAACATGCTCTATATTCTATAAAAAAGGGACTCACCTGGCCGAACTAATTCGCGTGGCTTCGATGATTGTTTGAGATGAGGCACCAATAATACATCGTCATGCATTCAAAATAATCAACAGAACCTTCTATGATTTGATGAATGTTCCATTGTCAGCTCCGGGCCATAGTTTATTTGGTGGCAAGACAATGCTTTTTGGAGGAGATTTTAGGAAAACCTTACCAGTCATTACAGAATCAGGACGAAAGCAAACAATTGATTGATCAATCATAAGATTTGCAATCTCGTCTTCTTTTAAAATCATCAAGCTGCCAAGAAACATGAGACACAATGAATCTCTAATCAACAGAGCAATCATAGGTAATGGACACATATTTGGAGAATGGGTTCTTGCTTTTGGAGATGGAAAGCTGCCAATGATGTCTTTGGTTGCAAATAGTCCCTCATATTGGATTGAAATACCATATATGTTCTTGGTTCCTACAGGAACCAATCCGGTTCAGTCAATTACAGCAGACATATATGACTCATTTACAGAACAATATAAAAAGAACACAACATACCTCAGAAGCAGAGCAATCATCACTCCTACAAATGTCATGGTCAATGAAATCAATGAGTTCATGTTGCAGCAACTATCAGGAGAAAACCATTCGTACTACAATTCAGATTCCATGCAGTTGGATATAAAGGTGCCTAAATCATTTAGCGAAACTTACCCTACCAAATTTCTCAATACATTAACATT